GCACTTCATTTTCGTTTATTCAGACAACATGGCTACCGTATATCTTGTGATATCTTTAAAAAATTCATAGACGAGACTGGAAAATTCAAAGAGAGCATTAAGAGTGATGCAAGCGGATTGCTGAGCTTATATGAAGCTGCATATTTGAGAGTGCATGGAGAAGATATACTAGAAGACGCCCTCACTTTTACTACAGAGAACTTGAAATCAATGGCACCGAATCTAAGCTCTACCATTGGGAAACAAGTAGCTCATGCCCTTGTGCAATGCATCCATTTTGGGAACCCAAGAATCGAGGCACGAAACTTCATCTCCATCTACCAAGAAGATGAGTCCAAAAATGAAATGCTACTTAGATTTGCCAAATTAGACTATAATTCTTTGCAAATGTTGCATAAAAAGGAGCTCTATGAAGTATCAAGGTAATGTTCAATTGACAATTACATAAAATAGCTCTGTGTGTGTGTGTGTGTGTGTGTGTGTGTGTGTTTACATTAATTAATAATATACATTCCTTATATATATTGCAGGTGGTGGAAGGATTTGGACCTTGTTTCTAAGCTTCCATATGCTAGAGATAGAGTGGTAGAATGCTTTTTTTGGGCTATGGGTGTTTATCATGAACCTCAATATTCAATTGCTCGAATCATGCTCACCAAAACCATTGCAATGACATCGATAATAGATGATACATATGACGCCTATGGTACAGTTGACGAACTTGAAGTTTTTACAGAGGCCATTATGAGGTACATATTTCTTTCTTTTAAGTGTATCCACATTATTAATACAAAAGAGTTTCTTAAGGTAATCAATTGTTTCTTTGTGATCATAATTATGAGAATTTCTTTTTCAGGTGGGATATTAGTGAAGTTGATCGGCTTCCTGAGTACATTAAACCATTCTATAGTGCTCTTTTAGATCTTTATGAGCAATTTGATGAAGAACTATCAAAAGAAGGAAGATCTTATGCTGTCCATTATGCAAAAGAAGCTGTAAGTACTACATTTACGATTAATCTGCTATTACTAAGTTCATATTATTCTTGCTTATTGTTTTTTTATAGTTAATTGCCCTTCCTTATGTTACTCAAATATCTACTAATTTGCATGCAGTTGAAAGAACTTGTGAGGACATACTATGTGGAAGCCAAGTGGTTTATTGAAGGATACATGCCACCATTTTCTGAGTACATGAGCAATGCCTTAATCACATGCACTTACGTTTATCATACAACTACATCCTTGTTGGGGATCAAATCTGTCACCGAGAAAGACTTTGAATGGCTAAGCAATAAACCTAAAATGCTTGTTGCTAGCCTCATAATATGTCGACTCGTTGATGACATTGCTACATATGAGGTATGAAATGCACTCAAAGTTTGTTATAAGGACGCCACAATTCTTCAAATAAGCAACCTTATTTACTAATCTATCTTCTGCAAATTTTTCCTTAATGAAGGTTGAGAAGGAAAGGGGCCAAATTGCCACTGGCATCGAATCATACATGAAAGAGAATCAGGTAACTAAAGAAGTGGCAGTTGACAAGTTTTTTGAAATGGTTACAAATGCATGGAAGGATATTAATGAAGAGTATATGCGACCAACTTCCTCTCCAAGAGAAATTTTAATGCGCATTCTCAACCTTGAACGTATTATAGATGTCACTTATAAAGGCAACGAAGATGGATATACACAGCCACAAAAAGTTCTGAAACCCCACATCACTTCTTTGTTTATTGATCCCATTGAGGTCTAATGTTAGTAGAGATCAAGTTGGTGAAAAATTGATGTAATCGAACATGATTATTTTTCATTTTTTATCTTTGTTATTATTTATTATCCACGGAGATAAAGCAAAATGCTTCAAATAAGTTGTAAACCTTATTCATCGTTGTTTAAGAGTTATTGATTCTTTCTTATAATAATATATCTTCCTCGACCCTAGTGTACTTGCTCTACAAAATACAAGTGCTCCATCCATAAAAGATTTAGCAACATTTATTTCTTCAAGACTCTTTCATGGATCAGATATTGATTGGTAAGGTTTTTGGTTGGTAAAATATGGACTAACTTTTTTATTACCTTTGGCAACGAAAAATTTGTCCCTAGTGGTCCGTTTCAGCAATCGAACAAGAATTGGTCATTATAGACCCCGATATGAATAAACCCAACTTATTTTTTTGCACATGATTGTGGTTTTAGCGATCAATAAGTGATTGGTGAAAGTTTAAGCTTTATCAATTGGTTGGTTATAGATGCCTGGTATAGTAACCAAACTAAAAGTGATCATTGAAGACCTCGGTGCGAATAAGTCCTATTATTTTCCACGTGTGATTGGGATTTTAATAACTAATCTAAATATGTTGATGAAAGTATAAGCTTTAGCAATCATGGTTGGTCGCTGATGGTTGGTTTAGCGACAAAACAAGAAGGGGTTGTTGAAGGCCTAGACAGGAATAAACCCCTCTTTTGTTCATGTGTTTTTGTAGTTTTAACTACTAGTCTGATGAGTTCGATGAAAGTCTAAGCTTTAGAGACCATGGTTTGTCGTTGATGGTTGGTTTAGCAGCAAAACAAGTATTGGCCTCGGTGAGAATAAACCCCACTTCTTTTTCTTGTGTGATTGTAGTTTTATCGACCAATATAAAAGTGGTTGGTGAAAGTATAAGCTTTAGCGGCCAATGGTTAGTCGTTGTTGGTTGGTTTCATTTACCAAACAAGAAGTGGTCACTGAACACCTCAGAGGAATAGATTCTGCTTTTTTCGCATGTGGTTGGATTTTAAGCAATCAAACTAAAGTAGTTTGTGAAATTATAAGTTTTAGAGACTAACAGTTGGTGAAACAATCCAATTAGAAGTGGTTGCTTAAGCTCTTGACGGAATAAGCCGCGTTTTTCGCAACCAACAGAGACTGGTTGCTAAAGACCTTTTGATAATGATGATGTAGCGACCAATTGTTGGTCGTTGATCTTGTTCAACACCAAAAATGGATTGGTCGCTGACTTGGCGTGTGATTGGGGTTTCAGAAATAAAATTAACATTAATTGATTTTGCATTATGTAAATTAATAAATGCTAACGTATTATATACAATACATTTTTTATAAGATAAACTTGTTTCAACAACAATTATCAGTTGTTAATTATTTTTATTTTCAATTTGTGGTATTTTTCATTGAGTTGTAATAGGCATATACCTATGAGAAGCAATATTTGATGACCCAAAAATTTTTTGATAAGGGATATACATTGCTAGGATTGAACGATTTCTCAGCGATAAGTCACTAGTGACAACATTTTAAAGGCGAACTAACAAACTACTGTTATTTATTGAATCTCTGCCTTTAAATATATATGATAGGTTTAAAAAAATAAAAATAAAAAAGCTTATTTATTGACTAATTTAACTCACTAACGTTATTAATTAATTTCCTAGAATATTTAACAAACAATCATAACAGTGAGATTTAGGTGTGCTCCATAGGGTTTCACGCTTAGAGACAAAAATTCACAACACACGTAAACAAGATTTGTTCATAAGGGTCTCCATAGAGGTTGTGCTCTAGCTTACTTTGAAGGGTGCCTAATGCAATAGGATTTACACGGGGATGGTTTTAATTAATTTAATAGTTTTGATTAATTTTTAGTTATTCACTTAATTGTTTATTTATTAAGGATCAATTAGGTATTTCACAACACTGGAAATTTCTTACTAGATTTTAGTATTTAAACTATTATTGTAGCATTATTGTACTTTAGTTTTTTGAGAATAAAATTTTTAGAGTTTTTCAATTCTTCTAATTATTCGATAATTCTAGCGAATTAACAAATATTTGATGTCCAAATTATCTGTATTCTAGCGAATCAATGAATGTTTTGCAGTTCTAATCATATTTCGCATGATTTTGCGTTGAGAATTAAAAACCAATTCTATACCATCAAGAACAATAAAATCAAAATAAGAGAAGAATACATAAGATTTGTAGAAGTTCATCTTAATGTGAACCTACATTATCTTCTCTTCGCTATAGTAATTTATTGTAATGAAAAAAGGTTTATAAGAGAAAAATTGCAATTTCTATTTTTTCTAACCTCTCTTTTTCATGGTGATTACATAAACCCTAATGATGGTCCTTATTTATAAAAAAAGAAATATATTAGGATAAAACCGAAATAAGTAGATTCACATACAAACTCTTTATAACAATAATAATTAGGCTCCATAGCTTAAAATTCTATTTCATCAATTTTACTAATAGAGCTCAGTTACATCCTGAAGTTCGTGATGTAGCGAAGAGTTTAATTATACAACACGATGAGTTGTAGATCAACAAATTTTCTTGTTAACTTAATTGGTATTCAAAATAATTATATCAATCGATGTAAATATTGACACATCACATGGAATTGCCACTAAAAGGGTGCAAAGGTGCAGTGGTCGTATAATCAACGACAAAGAAGGTTTTTTGCCCATAAATATAATCTTTTTGTCTTCTTCAAATCCCAATAGGTTAGTGTATGCCAATTTAAACAAGAATTATGATAGCTTGTTGATTTTTGAAACAAAGGCGAAGATTTGCCGACGGAATTTAAAGAGGAATATGTCGACGCATTCAACATGGAAAAAGGATACAAAATGGAACGAGATGAGAAAACCCAAATTAAATCAGCTAGGCTCAAAAATGGGCAAAAGCTACAGCAGAGCTATCACTGCATCTGGTGGTCCTACAACGACCAAAAAAAAATGTAGTTGTTAGCATAATTTGTGTGATTGTAGCATAATTAATGGGATTGCTTAATTATGGGGATTACAGATAGCCTAATTATAGGAATTATTGTATCTATCTCATTTTATCGCATATGCTCTCTTGTATAGATATAGCGTACACCTTGTATTATAAACACAGCTCAGAAATATAATTCTCTAGTTTTCATACTACTTATCTTTTTTCCTAACATGGTATTAGAGCTTAGGTGCGTCTGAAATATCTTCTGGCTTGTCCTTTCTGTAACTTTCCCTTTACTCCAGTCTTCTAGCTCTATGATGCAGAAAACAAAAATTTCTCCTTCAGTTGTTACTAATATCTCCAAACCTATTACCACCACTCTGAGTGGTTTCAACTACAATTTATGGGTTCAAGGAATGAAAAGTTTTCTTATCGGGCGCAAACTTTATTGTCTCTGGAGATCTCATCAAACCCACTCATGGGAAAGATGAGACTAATTAAAAATATGAAGGTCGTCTTGAAGAATGGACAGCAAGAATCATCAAATCATTACCTGGTTCCGAAATATTTTTGTCCCTTCTATTCATATTCAATTTACAACTTATGATACTGCAAAAGAGATATGTGATTTCCTAGCTAACAGGTATAAAACCACTGGCCTTGCTCACTATTATCAATTGTGGAAAACTCTGCATAATTTGAAACAAGATGCTGGGTAGTCTGTGAATGATTTCTTGGCTTAAGTACAACCTATTTGGAACGAACTATCTCAAGCCAAAATCATTGAGGATCACCTTCATCTCATCCAAGTTCTTATGGCTCTTCGCCCTGAGTATGAAGCTGTTAGGGCATCTTTGTTGCATCGTAATCCTCTACCCAAGCTGGATTCTGCTATCCAAAAGATTATCTTTGAGCAAACTCGCCTTGGCCTGGACAAGTCTCTCCAATCTGAAATTGCTCTTGCTACTACTCATTCTAGACCTTCCTACCGCAAATCGGAGACAAAGTTTTGTAAACATTGTCGTCAAAATGGCCACTTGCTCTCTGATTGTCCAACTATTGAGTGTTGATACTGCCATGAAATAGGTCATATAATTGAACCCAAGCTGGATTCTGCTATCCAAAAGATTATCTTTGAGCAAACTCGCCTTGGCCTGGACAAGTCTCTCCAATCTGAAATTGCTCTTGCTACTACTCATTCTAGACCTTCCTACCGCAAATCGGAGACAAAGTTTTGTAAACATTGTCGTCAAAATGGCCACTTGCTCTCTGATTGTCCAACTATTGAGTGTTGATACTGCCATGAAATAGGTCATATAATTGAGAATTGTCCTATTAGACCACCAAGACCTAAAGGAGTAATTTCCAAGTCTAAACATGTCTCTAAGCTCGAATCGTTTGCTATTTTTGCTGCTACTGCTTCTGACAACTCTATTTCTATCACTGTGAGTGATCTGGAGGCCCTACTCAAACAAGTGATTTCTTCCAATTCTTCCTCTGCCATGTCTGTAACTTCAGGTAAATCTTCTTGGCTTTTTTATTCCGCTTGTTGTAATCACATGACCTCTACTCTCTCTATTGTATTCCCCAACACACCAATATCCTATCTTCCTCCTATTCACACTGCAAATGGTGAAAAGATGAACATCTCTCATGTTGGACGTGCATCGAACTCATAGCTTAGCCTTCCTAATATCTACTGTGTTCCTAACTTGTCCTTAAACCTTATCTCTGTTTGTCAATTATGCGATCTCGGTCTTACTGTTATTTTTTGCCCCTCTAGTTGTCAAGTACAAGAACTGCAAACGGGTCAGATTCTTGAGACGAGTCGTAAAGTGGGAAGATTATTTGAGCTCATCTCTCTTCGAGTTCCGCTACAAAATGTGTCAACTGCTACAACTTCTAGTTCTTCATTGTATCAGTGTCATCTCCGTCTTGGTCATGCTTCAGCTAGTAAAATTCGACCTTTAATTTCTCGTGGGTTTTTAGGATCTACAAAATTTGAATCTTTTAATTTTCTGGAATGTCAACTTGCAAAACAACCTATTTTACCTTTTAATAATAGTACATCAATTTCTGATGTTCCTTTTGACATTCTCCATTCCGATGTTTGGGGACCTTCCCCATTCCATTTATGAATGGTTACCGATATTTTTTT